TTTTTTACTTTTTTAAATGGCAACATAGAGTTTTAATTTCATATTCCAAAGCAGAATATTTTTCTAAGTATTTTGATTCATTAAAATCGAATTTAGGACGAGTAGTTTATGAGTTATAAGTATTAAAAGTTTAGATTGGCATAATGGAGTGGTACRGGRTTACCACACAAAATGTTTGTCCACTACTCCGCTTATCTAAACTTTAAATACTTATAACTCATAAACTTCTCGTCCTWAATTCGATTTTTATGAATCAAAATACTTAGAAAAATATTCTGCTTTGGAATATGAAATCGAGATTTTCGTTATATCGAATTTCGTTATATCGCGAGTTGACTGTATATATAATATATATTTGATTACAGCTGTTATTGGTATTACTTATTGATAATTATATGATAATCAGTTTCTGTTGTAGTCTTGTGTAATTAAAATTTACAATGTTTTACTTTATTATATTATAGACTGTTATTACGTAATATCATTGAATAAATAATTTATAATCAATGGTAATATTTATTAATTATTTGATTACATTTACGTCTACCTACTATTTACTATTTAGTATATCGGGAATTCCTCGATTTCCTTACGGCCCAATCCGTCCCTGTATACYGGGACGCAAATACGCTATGACCTTTTTGAATCTTTTTTTTGCGGGACGCAACTCACCTACTGATAATAATTTCGGACGCAAGTAGAATGCTCTCACTGAATCGTACCTATAGTATTGTGTACCTACGAGTACTTATAATATAGTCATATAAATCAACCTTTGATTAGTTTATTTGTAGGTATTGTTTGTGTATGATATTATTATTAAACTGTTATTATACCTATGTTACATGTATCATAATGTCATAAATCAAAAAATAAATGTAATAATATAATAGTAGTGTAGTAGGTATTGTATATTATGTAGCTTTTATTATATTCTATAGAACAATATTTTTATAATGGTATGTAATATATACCTCTGTTTCGTGTACTTATTATAATACACAAGTTTACAATATAGTTTATTCAAGAATAAAACTCAAAGATATACATATACTAAAGCATAAACGCCATACGATGAAGATATTACGAGTATGCTCTATGGCTTTAAAATTCAACTCTTTCTGACAACACTTGGGCTGCAATTTGCTTTGCGTACACTGTTTGTAAATGTCAACTGCAGATTTGAAACAGGTTAGCTATTTTTGGCTTAAATATTTAGTTWAAAATAAAATCATGGGCAATTTTCTTTTTTGATAAGTGACATAAATCAATAATGGAATAAGCCGTATGCTAGTTTAGTATAATTATATTTGAATTTTTTTGAATTACGGAGATCTCACAATTKTATCAACGTTATAACTGATAACGTACTTGAGTTATATYTTATATCACATAATAAATTTGAAACTAATTTTTACGATATTGCTCTGCTCAGAATCTAAAAATGTGTGATGTCACATTATACATAATAATATAATTTACGTTTGTATGATTATTTACATATTATTATCTAATAATAATGTGGATACTTGTAATTCRAAGTGAACAATATAATTTTAAATTATGGCATTACATGTCTTGTTTTTAGGTTAAGTATTCTAGATGTATATGAACCAGAAAAAATTGTGAGTCACGGTGGGAGTGGCGTAATAATAAAACCTTAAAGAGGACATCAGCCAGAAACGATATTTTGTATTGTACTTTGTACTTATTACAGTAGAAATGTAAACTTATTTTATTGAAATGTGAACAATTGTGTAATAAATAACGATTAATCAATCCATTGTTTTGTAGTAGACATTTATGTACCTACCTAAATTATTAACTTACGGTTATGATGATATTTATTCCATTTATATAGACTAACTCGAATTGTATTTATTTATTTATTTAAATAATTATAACGATTATTGTCCAATTATACAACTTTATTAATATGTTATAGGTCATTATCAGACGATTATGAAACCACGTTGCTATTGGATGATGACGAGGACGACGAAGATGTCCAGTCAACGGTCAATCCAACAAAGCYAAAAACAAAAATGTTTAACGCAGGTGTTATTAAGAGGTATGTTTTAATATTATTTATTACGAAATAATTACGATATATGTGTATTTTAAATCCTATAATTTTATTTTCGTATACGAATGGGGTTGTTTTATCCATTATATTTAATCTTTTATGCTACAAAAGTTCAGTGACGGCTCGTGGACCGYGGTGTTAGTACCTATATTTTATTTATTGTCACAACAGACAACATGTCATAATTAATAATATTAAAACAACAATAAAACTAAACATTTTTATATGTGAAGTCAAGTCTTTTTTGTGGCTTTTAATTCATGATTAAAAAATAATAAAAATATTATAATAGGCTGGGTAAAGCAAAAAAAAAACTGTAGTACACAATAGAATCATTGTCACTGGAAAACACAACTGACAACTAACATAATTTTCTTTGGTAAAATGAAATAATATATTAATCGGGGCAATAGTAATGATAAAAAATATTAAAAATAGAAAACGGTGGAGTTTACAAATAAAAGTTACATATAATTGCCGATCCCCCCACTCGATAGCCAAATGTATTTTACACGGACTGGCGGTGTTCAGACTGAGCACACCAATTGATGTGTATTTGTTTCATAACTCGTTTAAATTTTTGGAGTATAATAATAATAAATTGTCACTTTGGTTTTTAAAATTTAATTTTTTTTATATAAAAAATACCCACAGTTTAACAGATATTATATTAATATATTGTATTAAAATTAATTAATTAGTATATATTATTATTATTATACATTTTCACTATTAAATCTATATAACAATCTATGTGGTGTGCGCACACATGCACACCTAGGCACGAGCCGCCACTGCAAAAGTTAATATGCTATAGTCCAGTAGAATAGGGTAGAGTAAAATCGGACGTGGAATGGAGTGAAACATATATTTTCATCGGACCACAAATTGACCCGTTGGGGATCATATGAATTAATATTTAAAATAATATTAATATAAAAAAAACAATTTCTGGATTGAAACAGGACTGAAACAGAATTGGTATGCCGAAAAACGTTCGAGTACGAAGGCCAAAAGTTGTCGCACTGTTACGACGACTCGCACTGCAAGTTGTACGGCGACTGCTGTCTGGACAGTAAGTTCTATGATGAGCCAGGGCAAACTGTTGCCATCGCCGGCAGCGTGTACAACAACAGCCGGTACGGGTGTTACAATAAGCACGGCATGGACATGGTGCAAGCGTTGCTGATCGGCAGGTGTCCGCGGGTGGCGTCATTTGCTGATCGCGATGTACGCGAAAAGTGTGAACGGCGCGAAGATGATTTCATATCCGCCTATCCTGTGTCCAGCAGCGACGGCCAACACGCATATAAGAACGTCTGGTGTGCATTGTGCAACGGTGAACGTTGGCAGATTGTATACTGGAAACCACTGTTCGTGTGTTACGGTCGCGACAGACGGGTTTTACCGATGCASATTCGGCTGGAGAACGCGTCCGACCACACCCTGTTGTATCGCGACGGCCAGTGGTACTACGCCGACTACAAAAACCGGACGTTATTCACGTGCGACTACAGGATCCGTCCACCGGATGTGGCCGTCACACCGCCATTGAGGCCGTGCGTCGGCGAGGGATTCACCGGGATCGTGGACGGGTGTCCCGTCGGCACACCAACCGCCATGGCCTTGGCGTGCGCGTCATACACCTACACCCTTTTCGAGTACCAACCAAGCGGAGACCAGGATAGGCGCGTTTTTCGAAACGTCGACTGCGCCCGGTGCAACGGGTTGACCACAAATCAGTTGACATGCGAACCACCGCCTCCACCGTTACGCAGCGGTGTGTTAGGGTTCGCATCGCTGTTCGCAGTCAGTAAGGCTGGAAAACTACGTGACCCATGCCCCCCAGACGAAATATATGACGTAACCGCGGTCAAGTGTAGGAACGTGATTCGGGAAGAGCTGTCGGGTGCATGCTTGACGTTCGTTACGTTCGGCCAAGGGGAATACGACGGTCGGACTGTGGGCAACGGCACAGCTTACGTGTACGCGTACAAGAAACGTGTCCGATACAGAGTGGGAGACCGCACGACGGTCATGGCCACGGGTATCGGATCTCCACTGCAAGTGTGCACTGAGGACGCAGACGGACTGCTCAGACCATACCAACAATCAGCTTACGCGGTGTACCTGTCGTACGCGGGCGTGATTGGATCGTGCGTTTCTGCCGCGGCGCTGATCGCGCATCTCATACTGTTTGGATTCTGTGGATGTTGTACGGGCGCTGAACCCAAGAACCTTCCCGAAAAGAACCTGGCCAGTCTTTCCACAGGTTTACTGATTGGCTACGTGGGCTACCTTTCCGTGGCACTGCGAGCCGTGTCCCCAGGCAGTGGACTTCCGTGCCTGGTGTCCGCGCTCATCACACAATTCGGTTTCCTAGCCGCTTTTGCGTGGATGTTTGTCATGTCTGCTGATGTGTGGATCGTGCTGCACGCGTCAACAAAGAAGCTCCGAGTGGCCGGAGGCCAGCGTCACGGTCGGTTCATCGTCTATTCAATGTTTGCGTGGCTTGCACCCGCCGCACTCACTGCGCTGTCCRCTACCATACAATTACAGTTGGCCGGTGGTGCATTGTTTCCCGAGCTCCGGCCCAACTTTCATTACGACTGTTGGTTCCGGAACCCGCAGTCATTAGTCGCGCTGTTCGTGCTTCCAGCCGGGACCGCAATCGCCGCTAACTATGTGTCGTTTTTCGGCGCTGTCCGGCTGATCGCCACTTCCGATAATGGGTTCAAGACGTCTGGCAGTGGGGGCAGTTGCAGCAACGCCACCGGCGTCAACCGGACGCGCAGGAATCTCAAGATCTACGTACGGCTGTCGCTGATGATGGGCCTGGCGTGGGTTTTCGCGCTGGTGGGCGCGATCACTGACAGCGACATTGCGTGGACGCTTAACACAGCCCTCAACTCGCTGCAGGGCGCTTTCATATTCGTCGCGTTTGACTGCAACCAAATATCCATTCAAAAGTTTGCCGTGTTCCGCAAACAACTGTCCGTATCAGAGACGCAGACCACTGCCGCCACGCCACTCAGTGCATCCACATAGCGGGCGCCTGGTTAAAAGTTCCAAACACATATTATTGTGTACCTTATCTCTGCGGTAGTGTGTTGCTATTACTGTGTGTAGACACATTTTTTACGCTATTGAGCTTACCGTGGTAGTAAATACATAATAATATATAATATATATTTACCGTTGTTTAGCATCTATACCAGAATCCTATGGRATATTTCTCACTGATGTTTGTTCGCAATGCAATTGACTGTAATCACGGAGGTTTGAATGTCACACACAACTATTTTTGTTCATTATTATAGTGAGTTTTATTGTTCCACTTTAATCCCAATTCTATATTACTTTTTTTCATATAATAGCCAATAGAGATATTTTAATTGTTATATTTTCTTTCGTAATTAATAAAAAAAATATTGTACCTATTATTAATTAAAGTTCATTATAAGGTTTTTCAGCTATTTATATTTTTTACCATTATTGGTAGAATATTTCTTTTTTTGGTATCAATTATATCTTGTTATTTAACGGCCATAAGAATATTTTATTTTTATTTATTATTTATAAAATATACAAACATTTTAGCCTATACATTTTAAAGCTGTATAAAAAATACTTTATACCTTCACAYAAATAGTGAAATTATTGTACAAGAATAGCTTGAAGGAACAAGTAACAACCCACCCATTGGCCATCCGTAACGAAACCTGTGTAAAATATGTTTCTTGTGTTATAATGTAGAAGAAGAATATTTAGACCGTTCAAACAAGACTTTATCATGCATGTAAATATGTAATCGACGTACAACATGGTAAATATTTTAAATTAAAGACATTTTTATACACTTTGGTATTACGCAGTCACGCAGCGATTTGTTGATATCCATTTGATCTAACATTTTTCTGATTCTTCGATTTTCGTATAGAATTATTTCYAAACAGACTTAAAAGCTATTTTAATTTCTATTTTAGTTGTCATATTATTTTATAATTAAATACATTGTTGAGCGTTGACGTAGTGACGTATTCAACGAATGCTGTTAAATAATAATAATTAGTACAATATGTGTTTAATGAAAACAATATCAATAACATCAATTATAAGTATCTAAAGGCACATCATAATGAACAATTACTGTTTTAAAGTGAATGTTTGACGAAGGAATTGTAACTTTCAGACAACTTGCGCACGAACTAGTATATAGAATAAGATGGAAATACATCTATTTGACAAGCATATGAACATGACTATCATAAAATCAATGTCAATTAATTTGTTTTTTGTAAAAGGTAAGTACTGGAATATTATTATGATTTTTTATCACATATCATTTTTCGTTATAATGCATGTACAAATTATACGGACGACTATAGCATATTATAAACTMCAGTTGCAATAAAGATAGATCCCTCAACAGAATATTTCTGTGATTAGCATTGAATATGGAATAAATGTMAATAAATACTAATACTCTTTTCGACTTTAATAATAATAATATAGTAATGTTCATATTTTATAATAGGTTTATTTTTGTGTAAAATTATTTTTTCTCAACATTTCTTTATTTATTCTATTTTCATTTTTCTACCCTTTTCCCTTCACATGGTTTTAGAGATCAAATTTCCCTTAAATTTKCCTACTATTTRTTACATAGTATTTTGTATACCATTATTGTGTTGCTATGAATTTTTATATATTTGTACAATTATTATTTAACTTGTGTATTATACAGCAACTTATTTTTACCAGCAATCGTGTTACCATTTTATATTATTGGTCATTGTATACACACCCACACGCATACACATATACACAATATAATTACACAACACGCACTACATAGCTCGAMAGTATTTGCCCAGCATTCCCGACCACTGCTGTTCGAGCTATTACCTCACTACACACCCGGCTAGTCCTCCATATTTTTAAGATCTAGGTTTTAGTGGTAAGCAATCAGATGTCCGGAGTGCGCGTATTACTATCATAATATGCTCCCGGACCGAACAACATTGTTAGTGACTAATCTGCAGTGTTCTTTACAACAATACAATGGACGATGGAATAATTGTGTAGGTTTAGCCAGTTTAGGTATCGCTAATAACGATGTAACGTCACAACAGCACACCATACTGGATTATGGTTTAATGAGTACGAAACCGTAGACGCACTATTCAGTAGTCACTTGTCAGGACACATACAAAGATATTGGTAGACAAATTGATTTCCGGTATGCGTTGGGTTATGAAACGGCGGTACGTATGAAGAACAGGTCGTACAGCCTGTGACAATAAGCGGAAAACAATGACCGTATTGTGCTCGAGCTTAATTTCCGGGATCGTTGTATAACAGCCATGCGCTTGTACATTTAATTATATTCATTATTTGCCCACACAAAAATTATCGYTGCGCATTCTGTTCACCGACTCGATAATATTGTACCGATGTGGTTTGTCTCATAAACTATGATGAACTATTTTATCGTTACCAGTAACGTATCGATACCGTACCGTTCATCACCGCAGTGTGTGTGGTCCTTAAAAACATGGGGCGCTCTTATAGTTTTTCCGTCAACATGTTCCGCTACCATTCCTTCAAGTATACATTTCAATGAACGGCCCTATTTCCGCTATATCGCTACGCGTTAGTTCAACGACGGTCTACCGTCGCACGTCGGCCGTGTCGTAACTGATTTACGTCGGTCCAGTTGTCTAAATGTCTAATTATCGGTTAAACCAAATACTGAAATGTCACGACCTTCGCCGTCTTTGGGTACCGCCGTAAAAACCTTGTGTGATCATTGTACTTGTCAGTTTTTTTTTTTTTTGTTGCTCTGATCAGAAGGCATTCACGACAAATAAATTATTGAGTTTTTGTTTTTCGGCTTGGTGGCTGAGCAGAACGCAACATCTCACTCATTCACCGCCCGAAGTGCCGCTGCATTMGTATCTACCTGCGTGTTGCCGCCGAAGCGTAAGCATTATCAGTGRCACCGGATGAGTGCTGGTTTAACACATCCACACAATCGCCTATTGTAATTATTTATTTTTATTTTTRTATGTATTTAGATGTGGTGTCTTTTGAGTTATCAGTTATAATATAACACCTATGGCGTAGATACGCTCTCGGTGGTTATACAATCACATGTCGCCGCGTCGTTTATCGATTGTATAAGTATTTAAAACGGCTGTCATAATAATATTTTGTTTCGTATCGTACGTTGTCACATCAGGACCGTACTTATTGTCTTTACACAAATATTAAAAAGTGCTTTAACTATTTTTAGTCACAAGGCTTATTGAATACACCACTTTATCTTTAAATCTTTTTTATGTCAATTATATCACTGTTAATTTCTTATTTTGAGTGTTTGATCATCGTCGACGTGCGTGGTGTTCCGGGTAGTTTCGTGGTTTCGCCGTCTAACGTGATATATCTACCCGCTATATCCCCTCGCAAATCACCAAAAGACAAAACCACCGTGTCTGTCCACTGTTGCAGTTCTAGTGAAGTAACACCGCTGTTACCAGTAGTTGCCGTTCCATTCGGGTCATATGTTTTTTTTAAAAGTTATCTACGGGTTCAGTCAGCCACACTAAATCTAAATGGTATTTCATATGTAGTTGTCGCTTTTGTTTTAATACTAATATTTCTTTCATGTCCCCCCGTACACAACTAGTATAGTATTATATATTATAAACTAGTATCATGCAATAGAATATTTGAATTGTCAGACTTTTCTCGACAAAACGAATAGAATTACACAATGATAAACTAAACAAGATGTAAAATAATGTAAGAATATTACTTTATATATTTAACTATTATCTATCTATATGTGATAATAGCCATAATCACAGAAAACGAATTCTCTACAGAGTTGGGAGATAAAACACCTTTCAGGATTTTTTTAAAAATTAGATTCACTAGTATAATAACGTTCAACTAACGTAAAATTAGTAGGATTGAAATTTATTTAAATTTAAATAATATAGTGACCRTTATAATGTATTGGTATTTTCAAATAATTTTACATTTTTAAATTTATAGTTATAATAGGTAGGTAATTTGATTGTAAAAATTAAATATATTWATAGTTATCATTTAGCCGCACAGATTTTATCCGGCCAGCAGAATAGAAAAAAAGTAAAAATCTATAATACCTATTGTTCTAATTTCTATAATGTTGTAAATTTATCATTTTTGTTCATTGGTTATTAGTACTTATTACTGATTTTATCATTTTTTATGTTCCACGAACAATTTCCAGATTTGTAATGCGGCCCTTCAAAAATAATAATTGGGGACCCCTGCTATATTATAAATACTATTATTATGATATTATATATGGTTACTGCAGGTAAGATTTAGACGGCCATATYACACATTTAAATATATTAGGTTATAGAATAATTGTAGGTATTGTTTAATACCTATATTATTAAATTATTAAATATTTCTTATATTGTATATATTTCAATATCAACAACCCCTCAGCAAAGTAAATATGAATAATTAARTATTATACGATGGCCGATGGTTTTGAAGAAATGATTGATCACAAATTAATGATCGCATCTAAAATTCAAGTGTACCTAGTACCTACAATATTTATTTAAACCTTGTATTTAAGTGGAGATATACTTACGGYATTTGGTGTTATTAAATTTAACTCATAATACAGTAATTTGTGTTATTAGTATTGAGGAGGGCTATATAGATTCCACAAATTACCATGAACAGTCAATTGCATAGCTAGTAACATGCCTACAATGCTAACCGATAAATAAGAATAAAGCCAAAAGGTTTAAAAATATTATCGCCATAAAGACATAAATAGTTAAAAATAACAGAAAATATCACGTTGCGTAACCCGGCCATCACGAGTGCCACGACCAGGACACATTTTACGACCAGTACAGCAATAAGACATGCCAGTCGTTACGGATGTCAGTGGCCGGTGATGACGTGCCACTCAACTGTTCCGTCGTGGCCATGTAACTGTCACCAGCCAAAGTTTGGTGGCCACCAYCKAAACGCTGAKGTATGCGGTTTTTACTTATGTGGGACTGGGCGTATCTGCGGTGTTACTGATCGTGCACCTGGCTGTGTTTGCTGTGCTACCCGTGATAAAGAAACTGTCCAGCAAGAACCTGGCGTTCGTTTCCGCTTTAACCTATTATGCGTTTCTCATGTCGTTCGCGTGGATGTTGGTGATGAGCTTCGACTGCTGGCGCACGCTTCGCTTGGCCACCGACGAGCTACGCGTCACCATTGGCCGACACACGAAAAAGTTTCTCATCTACTCGGCTGTCTGCTGACTGGTGCCGGCCATGATCACGTTTGTTGCGGTGGCCGCAGACGCCGTGCCCAACAACGCCCGTCCTCGGTTCGGCAGCAA